AATGTTAAATAGATTAGATACTGCTGATATGTAATTAAATTATTATAATTTAATTTTTTATTTTTTATTGACCTGTTTTATCTTTAATTATTTATTACATAACTTATATGAATAAATTTGTTTAAATTCCTAATAGTTGTAAATTATGCTCACAGCATGGATGATATTTGTTTATTATGTTTTTTTATTTTTTATATTATATATTTTTACTTTACAAATTATATTTACTGACATATGTTGTATAAGATTTATTTTCTTAAAATATATTCATTTATAGTAATTTTGTTTTTAATTGTTGTATAATTTATTTATTGTATCTATATTCTTAAGAGGATGTCCATGGTTCATCCATAAGTATTTTCTTTAACAAGAGCATAATATTGTAAATATTTAGCACACCACCACTTGCAAACATTTTTTGCAAGATTAGTTTTAAAATTAACACGACAATTCTTTCTCCGTAAAATCAAAATTAAACAGAAAAGGCCAAAATTACAACTTGCCATCAATTTCCTGATAAAAATTAACGTTTTCAAAATTTGTTTGCATATAATTTATTATTTATTCCCAATATCCCAACAACTATAAAAGCTATTTTTTAACTATTTTTAATTTTGCTGAGGAAGAAATACCTAGCAAATTTCAAAATTAGACTTGGAAATAAACAAAAATAGTAAAATAAATATTTGAATAAGTAAAATTTCTCAAATTTAATGATCATTTTTACTGAGAAAACTTTAGGAAGACATGTGAGCTAAATATTAACGAAAAAAGAAATTCAATAATTTTAGATTTTACTATCGAATGAGGGAAAATAGCAATACTTGTTGGTGGTCTATTCCATGTATCTTTTTAAATTTTGTGGAGCAAGGAGTGTTGTATAAATTTTAAAACTAAATAACTTGCACATTTATATAAATGGCGTGCTAAATATTCACAAAATCCAAATTTGTGTTAGATTTCTATCGAAGAGTAATTCGTATTAACACAAGATTTTTTTCAGGAGTATCTATTTTAAATTTATAGCAGTTAACAAGAAATTTTTTTCTTTTTTATCACTTTCCGAGAAAACTAATAGGTTTTTGGATTAGTAAACACTAAATAACTAACTAAATACACCACGAAGTGAAATATAAGGTTTCCTTACGTTATATTAGGTTCCTTTATGTTACACTTAATGGAATTAACTTTCACCACAAAAATATAAAATGGCTACAAAATTCCCATAGGTATCGAAATGCGTGATACAGACTGCAGACTCTGTATTACTATTAAAACAATTTAGTTTGTGTAATAGTCACGGATAAAAGTTCTTTTATATCCGTGGAAAAAGTCAAAAAAGTTTATGACTTGTATTGTTGTGTGGACTATAGGCAACTCATCGTACCACTGGCTAGTTCAATACCACAATACCACGATATACCTACCTTAGATAGATAAAATAGGTTTATTATTTTAAATCGTAGTCAATAACCACCAGTTGTATCTACGACCATAATAAAACAGTGGTCAGTAGTCAATACCACATTACCACAGAACAAATTAAATTCATTTCTCTATTTCATTGTCCATTGATTGTTTGCACAATAACAAAATATACGAATATAATGAATAATAATTGAATAATAAATTAGTAAGTGAAATATTAACTATAGAGATAAACGTTTTAATGTAAAATCTCGGTTAGGAGGGAAATTAATTAGGACTAATTGAAGAATTTAAATTAGAAATAAATTGCGATACCTTTCATAGTTGTGACGATTTCTATGATAGAGAACGATAGTAGTAACGACTTAAGCATAAGATTTTGACGATTTAGTTCGAGGTTGAACATGAGCTTCTTGAGCCTTGTTGACGGAGACCTTGGAAATGTCCAAATTTTTCTGTTTGAACGGAGTGATGGTTTCTTATTGCTAGACAATTTGAAATGTTTAAACCAGCGTTTCTCAACCTTTTTACTGTGGTAACCTCCTTTTTGAATTTCAATTTTTAGCGACTCCTACATATATTCTTTTTTGTGTACTCGCATAGATTATTATTAATTACTATAATAGTAGTGTACACGATACAGTGTTTTATATTTAATGACTTTATTTTTTCATTACCTGATTTTATTATTTGAGCTTTTACATTTTTGTATTTTTGTATTTGAATTTTAAATCATACGTTAGCGATCCAAATCAATAAGTTGGCGACCCCCAGGTTGAGAAACACTGGTTTAAACGATGGGCAGCCTTTAAAATTAGCAGTACTTACCTGTTCCAGAACATGGAGCGCACTTAGCCAGTAATTTACGCAACTTCAAGCAATCTATAGTGAGATGAACCTGACCACATTTGACGTAGCGAGGCGTGTGTAAGCATTAAGCAAACATGTGTCTGTATGACGGGCACCACTAGCATTGTGATGGAGTCGAGCTTTTCTTTCGATGATTACTTTAAAGTACAGTAGTTTAGTCAACTTAAAAAAGTTCCTATTAAATTAAATGTTAGTTAGCTTTTCGCTTTACTCGAATACATAATTGCAATCCTTAACTGGATGAAAAACGTAAAAAAAAAAGTGAAACCACACAATGACTCTATTTCAAATTAACATAAAATATATTACTATGACCCAAAAATGTAGAGTAAGTATTGATTACAAATATTGTGGTATTTTGTTACTTACATAATATGACGAAATAACCACATAAAAATGCTCTAACTCGATCGTAGCCTTGCGCTCTGCTGAATGCTAAAAATAAAACTTGACTTGCTTATGAAATATTAATTATTATTTATAATAAAGATTAAAGATGAAAAACAATATTAATTATACAAGTATTATCACAATTCACAAGTTTATAATTAATATAACTAACAAAGAACTTAAAACAATTAGTAGGTATAGGTAGTCTAAGAAATAAGAAAGGATAAAAGAGAACTAAATAAGAACGATTTCCCGTCTCCTAGTAAGTATTATAGTTACTAGTTAGTGATTACTAGGGTTAGAGACTTCATGCTCTAAAAAACCTGAAAATATGTATGCATTTATGACCTTAAAAATTATAATATATGTTCTTAAAAATATTTTATTTTTAATTAAAAAATCAAAAATTATAAATTTATTTATTATTAAATAAGGTGTTTTTAATTTAATTTTTACTACAAAGTGTACTTGGTCTAGAATATTATAGTAGCTTTATTAGCCAGACGAAAACAAATACGATACAGCGGACGAATTGACATCAACTGACGTCTAACTGTAATCGGCATTCCGGCATTCGCCATTTAGAGTATTCCATTCCTTATCGGCTATGTTTTTCACAACATACAAATAATTGGGAAAACACATGGTAGATAAATTATTTAATTATTTATATTTGAACATTTTAATAATTTAATCTATTTTATCAATTTTTAGAAAATTAATATGAAATATTGTATAGTACCTACGTATTAAATATTATTTTCTAAGTCACATATTATTATTTTTTTTTTTTTAAATAAAATATGTGAAATATGTAGGTAGTTAAAAATTAAAATACAAATATAAAAAAATAAGCGCCTACAAGAAAAAAAGAGTAAAATATGCAAAATATACAAAACAAAAATTATTGCTTTAAACTTCTAGTATTAAAAAACAAATTTCTATATTTAATATTTAGCTATGTTTTGAATGATTATTAACAAACATGCAAACTCCTATTAATTCCTTGCCTTCATGATTATAGGTGATAGTCTGTTATTCTTAATAAGTTTATTTTAATAAACATTGTTATCAAGGTCTGCGTAAGGGTAATGCAACCGATGCACCTGCACAGAACCCAGCGCAAATGTGGGGACCCGCGGAAGCAGGGCTTACTCCAAAAAATCAAATCATTATGGTGACTAAATTTTTTGATTTTGAAAGATAACGTTAATAATAATAATAATAATAAGTTTTCAAACTACAGTTAAAATAATAGTTTAGTGATGTTCTAGAGAACACGACGTACATCTACTCGGGGTTTATAGCTCTCGCCTACCTTCACGTGGACCGTATGTTAGCGATGTGCGCTAGCGTGCCACGGAGGAACGGGTTGGTTCGGTATTTACCAATCACCTTACCTTCCCAGGTCGTCTATGAACCACCATCACTGGGTCTTAGGGCCCGTATCTTTTTGATTTTTGATGACATGAGCCGTCAGGGGCTCGGAGCCCCTTCTCTCATCAGGTGCGGTGATTTTTTCTACTATTTTGTACTTGTCTCACGACCACCACGTTGAAGCCGAGGTTTGACAGCTTGAGGGGCACCATAACCGGAGAGGCAAGCCGGTTTACGAAAAGGCTGAGGATTATTTAAAGAAGAGGGTTTATTCATGTTTTCTTTTGAAAATTGCGGCATTCGGTAAGTATATTAAGGGTTATTTTTTGATAATGATATTATTGGCTATCGTAGCTTGAAAATTTAAATTAATTTTGGTACTTTTGCAAGTCATATAAAAACGAATAATGTATCACAGAAGTCGATGGGGTAAAGGTGATATGTGGTATTTTATAAAAAAATTTTCTCACCCTAATTTTTTACTAATATATGCCTACGCCAACTGTGTCGGTAACTATATAAACATAGGTACTTTGTATAGTTCTTTCCAATTATTTATCTATTTAATCACTAAATAGATTATATGATAATTCAAAATTTATATTTTTGGTATTATTTGAATATTACAATAATTAAAAATCAATGTCTTATTGTTTATATAAACATGATACGTACGCCTAATTGCCCAGTAATTACAACATAATTTAAATGCCTCAAAATATTATCGTCACAATATTTTAATAGTACGAAATGACTTAATGACTTAATGACAATTATATTTTGTGTCACAATAATGTGCATTTTCTTTCTTGGAAACAGTATCATCATTGTAATTATAACATAATAATATGATATAATTATCAATAGTCGTAATATCTATTCAACAATTTTAGGTACTTACACGCATTATTACTGCACGTCAAGATCCACAACATCGTTTGCACGATTATTGTTATTGAATATTGATGCAGTCAGTTGAATTGTGCGTTGAATTATCTTGAAAGTGTATATTAATTAATTAATACCTATTTTTCGATTCCTGATAAAATAACATATATAAGACGTCATTCAAGTTTTTGCAGAGAAACTTTACAGTCAAAATGAAAACATTAATTGCGACTAAAGTGAGAAAGTTTTGCTGTAACGATAGACATTACATTAAATGATATTAGAATAATATAACAATATAATATAAGTAATAAGTAATAACTAATATAAAAATAATGATAATGTGCAATAAATAATTTTAGATACGTATTTTGTACTTCGTCTTAATCGTATACAGTTTAACGTCGATCGCCAGAACCGACAATACGAATTATATATCTGCTGATGATAGTATGGTGGATGAATATGACGACAATATCTCGTGAGTAATAAGCCGTACATTTTTCGTGACTTATTATCCAACATAATATAACCAATAAGGGGGGGGGGGGGACTTGCCGGGGTTTGTTTTGGGGGGGGGGACGTGGGGGGACGGAGTCAGTCCCCCTTCTTTTTTAACTTTTTTTAGCGTACCCCTTCTATTTGCCCTCACGGTAATGTGACGGTTAATTTTGTGTGGAACACTCGTTTATCAAACATCCGATGAGTCCCCCTTCTATTTTTTTTCCAAATCAAGCACTGGAACTATGAATACATTTTGTGAGTATATTCTACGATATAATTAACGTGTTCCACCTCATTAATAATTTAAAACATCGGTGCCCGATTTCACATCAAATTTTTTGTACCACTAAAAAAAAATAGTTTCATGATATTATTATTCATAATTTTAGCTATAAGTGTATAAATACATCAATAAATATAATATGTAATTATATTTGTATATTAGAACACACCCACCACCAACTTTAAAAAGTAGTTCGACAACGATTCCAAGTACACCATCTGTTACTGATCTAAATCAATTACCACAAGCCAACAAACCTTCGACAGAGGATTTTTTGAGTTCAACTAGTCAGCCAAAACCAGATAATGGTAACAATCTATCAGGTGAGAGGTACAATAATTCCAGTGAGCGGATACTGACGAACAACAAATCTTTGTCAAAACCTGAGACTACAACTATGTTTATACCGAGTACGACAATGTGGTCATCAACGAAAAAGTCAAAGCAATCGTGGGACTCGTGGGAGGTGCCTACACTCAGCCCTATCACAAAAATTCTGTTAAACCATAAACGTCTCCTTGATAAAACTGAAGAAGAATCTGAGAAACCACGTACGAGGTATATTATCGACTATCTTTAATAATACTATATTAATACTATAATTAGTTAATACAAGTAATAAACTCCAAAATAGTTAGGTACAAATTATACTACAAATTTTCAGCGAAGATGAACGCAAGTTAACTTTAATCTCTTAAACTCGCTATGTTTAAATTTTTTAAATTTAAATTAATTTAAATTTAAGTTAAAAATTTTGAAAGTTCCTTTTTTTTAACTTATAGTATTTACAAGTCCAATAAAAAAAAAAATGAACTAATAATCAGTTAGGTAATTTTTTTTTTATGCCAAAGCACATAATTAGTAAGACAAATTTACAATAGTAAATACATAAAAATAAAAATATATATAATTCATGATAAGTTACTAAAATTAACTTTTAAGTTTGTCGATTAGCGCAGCCTTGCCTTCCTGTTTGCATTTTAGCTGCATTCTGTAAATTGTGTAAGTTGCCAATATGAGAATTTTTAAAACACTTTATATGTACGATTTTTTCTTCAAGTTATTATACAATAGAGAATAACAGTAAGAAAATATATTATGCATAAAACTTTTAAATTTTGAGTGCATTGATTTTACAATTATAAGTGTTTTTATTTTATTTTTGTGTTTCAACTTTATCTATTTGAAAAAATTTCGTGATCATCAACTTTGATGGTGGTTTCTGATAGTTAATTGAATATAGTTGGTACTTTTGTTTTGGCGGGTGAGCGGTATAGGAGAAGAAGAATCAAGAAATTAAAAATTATTAAAGGGAAAATTACGAATATATTTTGTTAAAATTTTAGTTTAATATTATTATAAAAATTTGTTTGGAAATCTTATTAAATTTGTCAAAAATATCAATTACATTCAATTTAGTATAAGTTTAAAATCAAATCATTTTTATGATTTTTTTTATTTATAATTTAGGTATCACAAAGAAGTAAAGAGCACTACAATGAAACAAACAACGGCCCAAAGTGAAAACGACAAATTAAAAGAAGAGAAACGTCAAAAGGAAATAGAGAGGATGGAAAACGAAAGATTTTACACCATTTTAAATGTTTTAGACGACAGCCTTTAAGAGTTAGTCCAGCTGCAGGTCCGAGAATGCAACGCATTATAGTTACAGTTAAATAGGTAGCGATTATAAGTTTTGAATATTTGTCATAACTCAAAGTAAATAATTATGTACTATGGTTGACGTAGGGCTGTTGTGTTCTTTCAAACAATAAGATAAAAATAATCTAACAATATTTATCATAAAAATACACTATTTTAAAAACATATTGTCCATATGTGCCTATACTGTTTGTGTTTTCTTCCAACTCTTGAGGATGGAGTGAAATGAAAATAATGTGAAATCATAATTTATATATTAAATATTAATATATATATATATATATATAAATATAGTCTACGATCTGTAAGCGGATAAGCCATTTTATATTTATGTTGGTTTTACTTTTTCAACGAAGAAACAATTGTTTTATTCTTTACTCATGAACTATTATACTATTAATTTATATTAATCGCAATATTATTTAGGTACTCATTTCTATTTTATTATAACAATTATTATTAATTAGGTTATTTAATTTAAAAACAATACATCAGCGATACGATTCAGTTTAAATAGTATTTATCACAGTTCGTACTTCGTAGTGAATGATAATTATTATATTTGAATTAAAATTAAATGATATTGATACAAGGTGATTCACATCAAACATGTTCAACGATCTTTTACTCTTTAAAATAAATAAGTTATGCATTTATTCAAATTATGATTTTTGGAATTTTTAAGTCCACAGCTGGACGCTGGTACTTAATTAATGACTATATATTCAGATGCTTCGATTTTTTTTATCGTTCGAAGTGTCTTGTGGCAAAATCCAGGGGCGGAGTGGGAAAAAAATTCAGGCCAGGAAAATAAATTTCCTCTAGGCCATTCAACTTTTTCATCTCTTGAATAGAAACTTTATTTTAGTTATGTATGTAATGCATTTTATATTTAAATGTATGTAAGTAAATATCAAATATAAAAATCCATTGCATAGGTATGTATTCTATTGATAAAACTATTAAAAAACAATTTTAAATCTAAAATAGGTAACCAAAATTTAATAATTTTTTAAATGTTTTTATATAATATATTATGTTAATAATATGATCGGTTTTAAATAATAAATCATAATGATCAGATATTTTCAGTATTTGTTAAAAGTTTAGGTAAATTTCTTTCGCAATAATATGAATCTAATTTCATACATTGTTTTCCACTTTGCATCAATAACTTTTTATCACTTTAAGCATCGCCTTTCCTTTTCTTGTTATCACTCGTCTCGAGGAAAATCGAAAAACATTTAGTATTGAAATGAATTTAATGTTTAAAAACTTTTTAAAACGTAGGTATGAAATACTTGAAATATAAATGTAGTATAAAAGTATTTACTCTACTAGTCCATCATATAGTAGGTACCTATTCTGTTACTCTGATGAGTGATGACAAAATAATGAGAAAATGTATATTTGCCTCGATAATCGCGAGGCTATAAGGTATATTATTGAATTGTAAAACTTCAGCGGAATTTATAAAAATAGATATAGACGATATAGTCAGTGTGTACTGTATTAACGTGGGCCGGTATATCGTATATACTATAATGTGACGGTATAATAACCTGACGGCATATTCAAAATATAAAAATGATTATTAATTAAATTGTTAATACTATTTCGTTTTCGTGTATAGATAAATATACTTCTTACATTATTTTACACTATTTTCATGGTTTTTTTTTCTATCTATACTTCAGGCCAACGGGTCATTTAGTTTCCAGGCCACCGAGATTTTTTCCCAGCATCTTGGTGGGCCACTCCGCCCCTAGTAAAATCTATTTTTTTTTCAAATGAAACCACTGTGTAGATAAATCGTTAAGGACATGATATTTTTGAAAATGTTGGTGCATATATATAGAAATTGAAATTTAAACAAATACTGTTTTCTCTATAAATTATTATCTTAACTATTAAACTTTGTGTACAAAGGATTAAAATCCTTAATAATACGGGTTTAGTTATATCAAATAAATTTGTATCTACCAAATAGGAATGTATTCAGTATATCACTTACCATTTATTAGTTATTAATTATAATTTAATCAATTGTCAATAAGGCTATAGGATTTTTATCTATTGGTACCTATATTTTTATCTTTTTTTATCGTCCTTTTAAAAAATTGGCCCAATGCTTTAATGTCTTACGATAAACTAGGTATTATTAATATTAGTTTAAAACAAGAATTTTTATTATTGTTTGACATTAGAATCTCAAAAAATTTTCAACAAAATATTGCAGAAATAAGAAATCCGATAGTATTTTTGAGAAGGGAACTTCGTTGAACAATAAAATGAACTAACAAAAACTTAACTAAAATATATCCTCATCTGTGTTTTGGATATTTTTGCAGATATCTACCATTAAAATATAAAACATAGAAATATGTTAATATTGATAATTAAATCACACATCAAATTTCTATATTGCACTAAAAAATTACAAATTTAATGTTTTTAATTTTGTAACTTTTACTGAGGACCTTTAATAAGATGCTTTTAATTAAAATTTTGAGTGGTAAGGCCAAAAAAAACTTAAGTAAAATATAATGAATTATAAATTGTTCCAAGTGTATCAATGATGCATACTATAAAATAATAATAATAGACATAAAATGATATAATATATTTATAATACTACATCATGTACTTCATTGTAATCTATGGGTAAAGTATTAAAAGGTCACTTATACATTTGATTTAAGTTTTGCAATTTACCAATCTATTTTATCACGATTAGGTTAGTCATCTGCAACAATAAATTTATATTATTCATGTTTAGGACAACATTTTTCTAATCGTTTTGTTAATAATATTATATATTCATTAACATTTTGATTCGTAGAATATTCTACCTATAATAACTAGATCACCAACATTTATTTTATGATTACTTAAGATTTTTATAACAATTAAAGATTGTGTTCCATTATTTTAAATACATAAGTATAATATAATTTAAAAAGAAAAAAAAATCTTTTATATTGAAAAATTATTCTCCCCCTCCAAATACACCTTAATAATTACAAAAAAATATAAATAAATAAATAATAAAGATTTTTGTAGTTAGTAGGTTCCGAACAAAAATTATTTTTTGTGTATTTTAATTTGAACTTATTATTTGTATTTTAACTCTGGGAAAATTAATAATATTATGTATTTAATACTATTGAGATAATGACTTCATAATAATACAAATTCATTTTAACTGTTTCCATATTACTAAAATAATAATCTATTTAAATTGATCAACATTAAATAAAATTAATAAATTACAAGTTTTGTTCAAATAACTGTTTATGTATTCAAAAATTATAACTATAAAAATTAATTGATTAGTAACAAATATGTTTAATGTCAGTAACAAAACATTATTAAATCTTTACCAAAATGAATTATGAAAAAAATTGAAAATGATTTATTAACTTACTAGATATGTATGTATAAAATATATGAAATTGTAATCGATAAATGTAATACTAATATTATAGGAACTCAGTTCTCAGTTTTTTAATACGTTTAAACAACTCATCGTCGGATGAAGTACACTCTTGCGCACAACGTTTGCATTCCATGAGAAATTTTTCTTTATCAGCTTCATTGATTTCCTGAAAAATGATAAAATTTGTAAACACTAGTTTTTTTTATAAATAGTATTTTAAAACTACTTTTTGATTATCTTCTGTTATTTGGTTGTTTTGAAAACTCTCTAACAAAGCAAGCTTTTTAACAGCGTCCTAATGGTTTAAAGACACGAAAAATTATTATTTATTACAAGAAAATTAAAATTTTTTATTATAATGGAATGAATAGATACTTGAATAACATTTTTTGGAAATTTTGCCATAGCAGCAACATGAATACCAAAACTTTTATCACATGATCCTGGTTGTACTTGATACAAAAGCGTTAGACTATCATCTGTAGTAACAGCAGAGACGTGTTTATTGGTGATTGTTGGTATGGTCTCCTGGAGTTTAGTTAACTCATGGAAATGAGTTGCAAATAATGTAAATGCTTTGGTTTCAGCAGCTAAACGTCTAAAATATGAAATAACTTTCTCAAATTTAATCTTAAATTTTTATTTATTGTTTTTAATCACTTTACTATAAAATTAGCACTTTATTTAGAAAAAATAAAACACATTTCTCACTTACTCTGCAATAGCACATGCAATCCCACAACCCTCATAAGTCGATGTACCTCTACCTAATTCGTCAATTATCACTAATGATTCTGAAGTAGCTCTCTATATTGATAACATAAAGTAAATTAAGTTTACACATTTTTTAAGATTTACATTTAATTTACGGGTTACACACTTTGAGTATAGAAACAGTCTCTATCATTTCAACCATAAATGTAGATAATCCTTTTATTTGAGAATCATTTGCTCCAACTCGAGCTAAAATAGCATCAACCACACTAATTTCTGCAGCATCACAAGGTACAAAACTTCCCATGTGTGCCATAAAAATGGCCACAGCAACACTTCTAATGTAAGTACTTTTTCCACCCATATTTGGACCAGTTATTACATTAAATGTGCATTTTCCTGAAATTGAATTCATAAAAATATAATAAAATACATTATATTATGCCAATAATAAAATGAGTACTTTATATATATATGTCCACTGTATTTTATTACCTTGTTCAAAATAAGCATCATTAGGTATATAAGACACTGAATCTTGTAACTCAACACATGGATGCCTCACTTGTTTTAAGTCTAACAGACCATGACCTTGTGGATGTAAATTTGGTCTTACATATGGACGTAAAGAACTCGCTGCCAGCATAGAAAAGCTTGTCAAAACATCCAACTGTGCCAAAGTTCGACTTAGGTTCAGTATGGTGGCATTGTAACTACCTACATATTATCAATGATTAACAAGTGATTAGGAGGGAGGTATTTTTAAAATTTAAAGTTCTTCATACTAGCTGTTTGGATAACTTCAACTACAATAGATTTTTGATGTTCCAAATAGTTTTTATGTATATTCTGGTATTCAGTATTAAGCTCTGTTAGTTTAGATGATCGAAAACGCATACCTCCACCTTTAGTGGTATCTAGAACTTCGTACGATTTATTATTTGAAACAGTCTTAGCATCCTATAATATAGGTATTTGAAAATTAATAATTATATTTAAATATTAATAGAACCATAAACAGTAAATTACTTTTAACAACACTTTATAGAAAAATCCATATTGTGAATTTGAATCCAATTTCACAGAAATTCCTAATGCTCCACTAGTTTTGGTTAAATTTGATTTCATTTTTGTTTCATAGTCATCCATTTGATTTCTCATTTCTTGTAATTCGTCATCAAAACCAGACTGAATGAGAAACTCGCCTCGTTCAACTAGTTTTAAATCAATTGTCTCCTCAATCATGGCCTGATATTGATTCATGTCATTGACAAGTTCTTTTAATGGAGTTGTAATAACACTGTTCAGAGTTTTATCATCTGAATTGCTCAGTGTTTGCACAAGGTCTGGAAGCTTTTGTATTGCTTGATATATCCTAAATTATACAATAATAAAAATTATACAGAATATAAAATTTAACAAATATAATAATTATTGACTTTATTTTATCAAACAATTTTTTTTGTTATCTACCTATAACAGTCTTGTAGGTTAGCTTTTTTTCTTTGAATCTTGCGCATGAGAGCTTGAAGATCAGGTATTGTGCGTAAATGTTGATCATATAGTTGTTGTCGAATATCTGTATCCGTAACAAGAGTTTCAACAATGTCCAAACGTTCATTAATTTTATTTAAATCTCTCAATGGCTGTCTGATCCATTGAGTTAACAATCTAAACATTGGATTACTTTAATGTTAAATTTATTGTGTATTTATGGTTTAATGTTAAATTAGTGCAAAAAAAAAAATACAACTAACCTTTGCCCATGCGGTGAGCGACATTTATTAAAAATTCCAAGAATAGAATCATTTTTAGACATAGAACCAGAATTAGAAAATAAGTTAAGTGCTTGAACACCAGCACTATCTAAATGAACAAATTTGTCGTATCCCAAATTATCAACAGTGAATTGATTTAAGTTATCCGAATCAGATAATAGCTGTAATTTATTATTAATATTATACCATTGTGAAATATTAAATACGCTTTTTTCATACACTGATGGGTGTCCAATGTAATATATTCATTGTTTCAAAAACTATTTAAGTTATAGAAAGTACTTTTTCTTTCATAATTATAAGTCATTAAAAAATATTTTTCTAAAAATAGTATTTTTACTTTTTTTTAATAAAAATATGTATTTTTAAGTTTCTTATTCTAAAGTATATTTTATGGAGTTGAGTCAATATATAAAAATGAAGTTTTGGACAAACATTTGTAAATTATAAATATGTAAGGTTTAAAAAAGTGTAACCCAGAAATTATAATTAAAACATACTTCGAGATATTTTATAACTGCAGCTATTGCAGCAGAAGCAATTTCAAGTTGTAATTGAGGTAAAGTATGGGCATTTGGTTGTTGTCCTTCTTTGAACATAATAAGCTTGTTTAAATCTTGTATCAATGTATCGATTCCAAAATCAGATTTCTTTTTCATTGTCACAAGCACTCCACAACGCTCAACTACTTTTTTCAATTGTTCCACGTCAGGATTGCTACCATCGATCATAAGAATGCATTCTTTTGGTGAAATTTTAATTATTATTGATTCAGTGTGAGAAAAATATTCATCATCAGTAAATTCACTTAGTTGAAATTTATTTTCTACTGTATCTACTGCTCCTAATCCAATCAACTAAAATATTTAAAATAAAGGTAAAAAATACTGTTCTTATCAGAAATATTACAGAGCATAAAGTTGTTTGTATATAGTAAGTTAAACCTTGTTATTTCTGAAATCTGGGCTTAGCTTTAAGGCAATAACTACATTTGCTTCAATTTGTTCTACATTTCCAAATAGTAGATCTTCAAACTGAGATAAGTTACCAGGTGAACCCTAAAATATTAAATTGCATTAGTAAAATGTTAAGATATTACAAAGTAAAATTATTAAAAATAGTTGTACCTTATAATCTAGAGCCCATTTTCCAGCTTTGTTGACAAAAATTTCTACTTTGTAATGATTGACCAACAACAGTTGTTTTATATATGCTTCGAAATTGGCTTTATTGAATATCAATGATTCCAGTGTATCATCATCTAAATTAATAAATTTAAATTTCTTTATTTAATATTTATTAATAACTGATTAGGTATTAGAACTATTACCTGACCCAATAATTTTTATTGAATGATTTGTCTTGTAAAAGTCTTTAGCAGCAAAAATAGCATCTTGACCATGGACAGTATAATAATCTTGCCGATTGAAAAAACGAACAGTTGTTAAAGGTTTCTAAAATGAAAAATCCCAAGACATGAGTTCAAGGTAATACCATTGAAGATTAAATTGTATTCACTTTAAAACATTATCATTTTAACTGAAACTTGGGATTTTACATTTTCATTTAAAGGCTAAACAAAACAAATACATTTCATGTAGATAAAATGTAATCGTAATAATTTAATACAAGGACAAAAAATTAAATCAAAGTCATTAAGGTCATTTTTTTATTAAATAAAATCAACTACACATATCGGGAAAATTGTGTTTCTTAAAAAAGATTTTGATCAAGGTCTTAAGGCTTATATATTTATTTATATTACTATATCAAATTAATAAACTTAAATACTCAAATAATCTACTGTTAATATTTTATTGTTTAATAAGAGCATAAATCAGATATGCAAATTGAATATTTGTTATAAAAGTATTAAATTAACATTAATTAATAATTATCATATATGATAAAAATTAAAAAAATTAAAATTTAATTTTTTTTCTTATAACAAAATTCTAATTAGTTAAGATTATAAAAATACATTTTCAATTAATACAAATATATAATAAAAAAATTAAAAAAAGTAATTACAAATCAATAACTTTAGGGTTTAGATTTATATTTTATAAAAATATATAGTAATATTTATTTTGTCAACAAACATTAATCTCACTTTAATAATTACAGAGCACTGATGAATTATTATTGTAATCAAATTCTAAATACAGCTGTTTCCTAAAATGATTTTTAAACTTTTAAGTTTTTTATAAAAATTAAAATAATTAATAGGCAGATACAGATTTTCAAAACTACAATAATGAATATAAATTTATAATTGTGTAACTATAAATTTTCTTATTCAATTGTGGCTTATAGATTAACTTTTTAAAAATGTTCAATTATAGGCAAAGATTAAATAAAGAAATACATGAAATATTTTCAATGACTTCCACAAGAATCTTTTTTTTTTTTTTGAAATATTAGACAAATAAAAATTCCCACTATAACATGTGACCCAATTTTTATCTATGAATAAAATCATTAAATAAGTAACAAAAGAAATAGTATCAACATAAAAATAATGAAAATTATTAATGTATTATTGTTATTTATAATTGAGTGGACTATGTACGAAATATAGTTCTCAGACAACTTTGGGGTTAAGGTTATCTATAACAGTTCAGGGTCTAAACAATACTATTTTCTATTTCCTCGTAACTCTTGATTATTATTTATTGGGTTTTTAGTCTTTGACAAATAAACATATCAGCGTATTATATAAATTCATGCAGTTTATTTAACTTGTATCATTCGAAAAATAAACTTTGTGCAATCAAGTCTATGTGAATAGTGTTTAATATAGCAAAAATTCTTTCAAGTTTATTAGTAAAAATAAATTTGAAAAAAAATGCAAACAATGTTTAAAGTAAGTATTAATATAATTTATTGATTAATGTAATATTATACATTTTAATTATATGTTTATTAAAAAAAAAAAAAAAAATGATTAACTTTACAGATTTGCAAATTATATTTGCTGTTATGTCTTGGTTTATCAATCAATGGCAGTCCAATATTAAATGGATTAAAAACAACTTCATCTGACTATCAACAAAGCAGTTTATCATTACAACATGAATCTTCATTTCCTTCTAACCAAGATTTTGGAAATGCGGAAACCAAATTTAACTTACAAACTGATTCAGCAATTGAACAAAGCTTGAAAAATATTCCAGGTATTACCACAACATATAGAGATCAAAATGGGAATCTTGTAACTCAGGTAAAAAAAGAAACTTTTAATAAAGAAAATGGCCACAGCTCTCATGCATTTGAAATTCGAGAGAGTAAACAACATCCAAATGGATATACGAAAAGTTTCAAAAAAGAATATTCTTCATCTAGCGTAACAGGACCTCAAACAACTACATTTGTTCAAAAACCATCTAACACAGAAAAATATTACAATAGTGAACAACTATTAAATGGAGAATCAAGTTCATATGGATCTTTTCAAAATTATCAAGGACAATCAATACCTGCTAATATAGGAAATATAGGAATCAAATCAAATTTTAAATCAACAGTAGATCAAAGTTTGACAAATATACCCGGAGTTACATCAACATTCAGAGACCAAAATGGAAACATTGTTACTCAGGTAAAAAAAGAAATTGTTACCAATAATGATGGACAAAATGGTCATGTAACAGAATTCGAAGAAACAAAACAACTTCCAAATGGATATTCAAAAAGTTTCAGAAAAGAATATTCATCATCTAGCGTAAAAGGACCTCAACCTACTACATTTGTTCAAAAACCATCAAACACAGAAAAATATTACAATAGTGAACAACTATCAAATGGAGAATCAAGTTTATATGGATCTTTCCAAAATTATCAAGGACAATCAATACCTGCTAATACAGGAAATATAGGAATCAAATCAAATTTTAAATCAACAGTAGATCAAAGTTTGACAAATATACCTGGAGTTACATCAACATTCAGAGACCAGAATGGAAACATTGTTACTCAGGTAAAGAAAGAAATTGTTACCAATAATGATGGACAAAATGGTCATATAACAGAATTCGAAGAAACAAAACAACTTCCAAATGGATATTCAAAAAGTTTCAGAAAAGAATATTCATCATCTAGTGTAGTTGGTATTCAACCAACATTAATTAAGGCCAATACAACTGAGAAAAATATATATTTACCTCAAAAATTAACACAAGAAACAGAAAAATTTAATGGTTACAACACATTTTTTAACAACCAAAAATACGCATTAAATCCAAACAGCCCAATTAATTCTCAAGTATTAAATAATAATAACCAATCATTAGAAACCACTGGTTCGCTTAAAGGCAATTCATTAGGCCTTAATACCAAAGATCCAATTAACTGTGATGAGGGGATAACTAGTACTTCAAAAATAAATCAAGGTTATAAACAACAAACTAACACAAATCTTTCCTCAGTCAGTCAACGAGTACCAGTTAATATCAATCGATTTTCAACACAGACACAAGAGGAAGTCGGTCAACAATCACTTGATTTACACGGATATTCAAAACCATCACAATTGGGACAACAGTCTGTAGACATCAGTAACCTCTATGAACCAAAAAAGCCAAGTAGTCAAAAGTTTGAAAAAATTGAGTCATTTTCTACACAAACACAAGAGGAAGTCGGTCAACAATCACTTGATTTACACGGATATTCAAAACCATCACAATTGGGACAACAGTCTGTAGACATCAGTAACCTCTATGAACCA